ATGGGAAATCCAGACTCTTGACCTTTTAGCGTTAGCCGTTAGCTTCACCAGCCGATCACCTGGTTTCTGCACACTCCAGCTGTTCTATAAAACCTCATTGTCTTCAACCAGGCTCCTGTATCCCCCCTCCTGTAATTCTGCAACACAACCAACCATCACTTCCACATCTTAATTCTTCTGGACATTAGAAAGGCCAGAGTTGCACTGAAGGTCAGAGGTGTGCAGGGTAAACAAGGCAGGAAAGAGCACAGCCTCCTGTGGTGCTGTAATGCTCTGAAAGCCCAGAACAAATCTGTTAGAAACTGATCAAACACATCCGGGAGGTTCCCCCTTTTTTATTCACACTCTGCCCCAACTGTGTTACAGTATTGTTTGTGATATGACAGTCTGTGTGCGTACCATAAATCAGGGATGGAATAGACTGGAAAGATACTTTATTGATCCTCTCAGACACATTGGTCAAAAAAACCTTCAGGATCAAGAGTTTCATTCTGGGAAGAAATAATACCACTGACAGCCGGGCTCGTGTTAATGAAAACACAAGACCACTCTGTGGGTCACAACTCCCCCCGCAAACAACTTCTGAAAAGAGTTCATTCTGATGATATTTATACAGGAAATACATTGAAAAAAGAGAAAAGTCATGAACACAAAAGTAAAAACAAGTCAAATTAAAAGCTGAGAACGTCCTTTAATGACAGAATCTATAAAATGTGTTAAAATGTGTTTGCTGTTTGTGTTGGCTCACATCAGAATAACACTAAAGACTATTTAATCAGTGAAAAACACATGAAAGTTTATTTTCATTTAACAAAATGCATCAATTTCTGTCTAAAACTAACATGTTAGAGGACTGCAGCTTCTATCAGAGAGGGTGGGATTGTTTTATTGATGTGTTGTTTATTTGTCATTGTTGTGTTATTGATATGTTAGTGCGTTGTTCTGTCGTTGTTGTTGGGCAGTTTTGTTTTTGATGAATCACTGTCGTGTTACTTATGTGTTGTGTTTTTACTGTGTTGTTTCTGTGTTGTTGTTGTGTTCAGAGTTGTAAAGTAAATAAGTACAAATACTTTGGTACTGTACTTTGGTACTTTGGTAAAATCCTACTTAAGTATCAAAGTACAAATACTTTGGTACTGTACTTAAGTAGAATTTTTGGGGGTCTGTACTTTACTTGAGTAATTATTTTTCAGCGTACTTTTTACTTACATTTTCACACAATTATCTGTACTTTCTACTCCCTACATTTTTAAAAAGGCAATAAGTAAAAAGTTTTTACTTTTATTTCATTTTTGCTTGTTTTTATTCCAGCTTGTTGTAAAAGCATAAATGTGAGCCGTCACATCGAAACGAGGATTAAGTCTAAAAGTTGTATATAGTGAAATAGGCAAATACAGTGTTTTGACTAAAATATTAAATTGCATCTTGTCAAAATATAATGAATAAAAGTCTTATTAATGTATCAGTTGAATGAACTGCCTGAAATATAATCATAAAACAAAATTCTGAAGCACTTTTTTGAGC